AAAAAAAAAAAAAAAAAAAAAAAAAAAAAAAAAAAGATAATAAAATAAAATGAAAATAATAGAAATTAACAAATATACTTCATTACCCATAAAATATTAATTTTTAAAAATAAAACAATACAATTTGCACATAAAGATATGAAAAATTGTAAGTAAAAAATATAGTAGTATTTTTAATTTAAGAAAATATCAAGAATTATATTTAATTTTATCCAAAAAATTTATACATAAATATTACTTAAAAATATAATTTATAAATTATTTAAAAAAAATAAAATGAAACAATAAATTATAGCATAAAACATTACAGTTATCTTAAAACTTTAAAAACAATTATCGGAAAAAAAAAAAAGGAGAAAAAATAATTGGTAATATTATAATATTATTTATATATAAAATAAAAAAACTAAAAACACAAAAAATAAATATATGTATTCATAATATGAAGTTTTTCTCAAAAATAATAAATAAAAATAATAAATTTAATCATTATTAGAAATGTAAAATTCTTAATAAAAAATGTGATAATTTGCATTTCTTTCTTTTTTTTTTTGTTATTTTTAAGTGCTTAAAAAAAAAGAAATTAATATTTTAAAAAATTATTAAAGTGTGCAAATTGGGAAATGAAGAAAATACAAAACATATATGTGTAAAATATATATATATATATATATAAAGATATTGTCTCTTTTAAAATAACGAAAATGCATATCTTTATGAAAATTTCTTTTATTTTTAAAATTTTAGTATATATTATTATTTTTATATTAAGATTATATTCTACAGTAAAATTGAACAACATTTTAAAAGTTTCCTTAAAAAATTAAAAAACAAACAAAAATATTAATTATAAGAATTCTGTAATAAGTTATATTTTATTATTACATTCATATATGTTTTATTCATTTTAAAATTAAAGTAATTTTTTAAAATTTAGACATTAATAACAAACATTTATGTGATTAAAAATGGTTTCTTCAGTATTTAAATAAAAAAGAAAAAGCAAAATAAAATAAACAAAAAATATACATATGTAAGCCAAAAATAAAAAAAAAAAAAAAAAAAAAAAAAAAAAAAAAAAAAAAAAAAAATAAA